AGCAACCCCCCCGCTCGCCCCCCACGCCACTGACTCAGCGCCCGGGCCCGCCTCCGGCCAAGCGCCGAGAACGGGCTCCGGGAGGTTCCGCCTGGCCGAGGGAAGGGGGGGTGTCCGGGGGGGTGTCTCTGCGGCCTACCTCAGCCCCTCTTCTCGCCGCCCCTCTGAGAAGGCCCTCCTGCGCTCCACGGCGAAGGGCCGCCGCCCCCGCCCGCGCTTCCCTCAGGCGGCACCTGAGGTAAAGTCTCCCCCGCGAAAGGGGGAGGCCGTTGGGGGCCCCCCTCCCGTCCTTCCCCCCCTTACCCGGTTCCCGAGGCTGGCCTGGGCCCGGAGGCGCGGGAGGCGCTCGTCCGCCCGCAGCGGAAAGGGGGCCAACGGCTCCCTCTGGCTCCGGTCCCGGCGGAGGAGTGGCGTCGGCGGCAGAGAGACCGCAATGCCCGCCTCAGCCGTCGTCGTCGTCGTTGCCTCGCGCGAGAGATCGAGGCCCGAATGTAAAGAGGGGGGAGGCAAAGTGCGTCACACTCGCACGCTCGGCGGACGCACGGCGACGTCAGCGCGCCCGCGCAATCTCATTGGCGCGCGCCTCTCCCGCTCCCGAAGACACCAGGGAGCTCGGACCTGCGCTATTGGTCGAGGGATCCCTCCCAGCGCGCGCCACGGACGCCGCCGTGCGTCAGCGGCAGACCCTGCTCTGACGCCCGGGGGCAAAGGTCAAGCCGCGAACGGGGATTGGCTGGAAAAGGGAGAGGGCCTCTTCAGGGCGGGGCGGCTCGAAAGCGAAGGTGGGAGGGGCCAGGAGCCACGCCCCTGGCCCGAAGTGGGAGGAAGCGACGGTCCTCAAGATGGCGCCTGGTTCCCATAGCAACCGCTGAAGGCCGAAGTGAGAAGGAAGTCACGGGTGAGGACACGGAGCGCCCGCGCGGCCCTCGCCGGGCGGGGAAATCAAGGTGAACAGGGCCCCGAGCGGAAGGCCGGGGGGTGGGTGGGTCCGTAGGGAAGGCCACAGGCCTGGGGCCGAGAGAGGCAGAGCGAGGGCTGAGGAGAGACGGTGGGGGGGGAGAGAAAAGGAATACCTGCCCCCAATCCACACACCTCCTCGCACACGTGCCCTCCGGGGTTGAGAGCCTTTGGCCCTTCAGGCACGCGAGCGCCCAAAAGCCCCAAGCCGCCCCCCCCCTCGGCCAAGGCGGGGCTCCACCTGGACGCCTCCAGCTTCCCGACTCTTGGTTTGCTCCCTGGAGCCGGCCTGGTGGCTGGCCCTTATATGTAGAGGGAGGCGGGTTCTCCTTCCCTCCTTCGCCCCCCCCCCAGGAACACGAACCACCCTTGATTGCCTTGGGGTTCGGAATAGAGATGGGCACGAAATTCGTTGGCTGAATTTGTTCAGAAAAAATGTTTAATTTGGACGAATCAACGAATTGTTAGCGATTTTTGATTCGTTGATTTGTCGAGCTGCAAAACAGCCCCCAGGCACCTACTTAGAGGGACCAAATTCTCAGGGAAGCCGCCTCTGCCCTGACTCTCCTTTACAAGCTCTCCAAGTTTGGTGAAGGTTGGGTTTCAGATGTCCGGGCTTTACACCCACAAAGAGGGTTACCTTCCCCTCCCCCCGGATGTTCCCTTTAGCAGCTTGGTTGGGGAAATCCAACCTTCTCCCAAGGGCTGGCGTTGTAGGGTTTTAAAGTGAAAAACAGATTGACGAGTTGATTTGTAAGAAATTGTGATTTGTCTCTCTTAATTCACGGAGTTGCCACAAACTGGAGATGGTTGGGTGACAGCCCATAAAAGTAACAGTTGTTGGAGAACTGGGAACAGCTGAAAATGTATTTTAAGTTAGTTTTGTTCTTTTTTATTTTCATTTAATTAAACAAAATTAAAAGGAAAGAACAGCTTATCAATTGGCCTGTATTTCACACAGTTCATGCCAAAGGAAACTTGTGGGTCTTTTAAAGTGGTGAATTCATTCCCAGACTTGGCCTTTGCTACTGGGATCTGCCACACAGTTACACTATCAGCAGGGAGCCAGCCAGACTTGGCCTTTGCTAATTGTTGGATGTAGTGAGCTGAATCCTTCTACCCTAAGCCGCTGCTTGCTCACGTCCAATCAATGAACCCCAAACAGTAGTGAGCTGAATTCTTCTACCCTAAGCCGGTGCTTGCTCACGTCCAATCAATGAACCCCATATTGGTAGAGAGGAGCCTTGTAAGTGGTGGTGTTACATTCCTGATTTTCCCTCCAAATAAACTGCTCATAGGCTTGATCCCAGAGGGTTGTCATGAAGCCAACTTAACCAGCTTAGTGCCCTTGAAGACTGCAGGAAGCTGAGAGCTGAATTCTTCTACCCTAAGCCGGTGCTTGCTCACGTCCAATCAATGAACCCCATATTGGTAGAGAGGAGCCTTGTAAGTGGTGGTGTTACATTCCTGATTTTCCCTCCAAATAAACTGCTCATAGGCTTGATCCCAGAGGGTTGTCATGAAGCCAACTTAACCAGCTTAGTGCCCTTGAAGACTGCAGGAAGCTGAGCTGCCAGTCCTCCTTTTCTAGACAGGTTCCAGATTTAACTGAGGGACGTGGTGGCGCTGTGGGCTAACCCGCAGAAGCCTGTGCTGCAGGGTCAGAAGACCAGCAGTCGTAAGATCGAATCCACGCGACGGAATGAGCACCCGTCGCCTGTCCCAGCTCCCACCAACCTAGCGGTTCGAAAGCATGCAAATGTGAGTAGATAAATAGGTACCATCTCGGTGGGAAGGTAAACAGCGTTCCGTGTCTAAATCACACTGGCCATGTGACCACGGAAAGATTGTCTTCGGACAAACGCTGGCTGTATGGCTTGAAGAGCGGGGTGAGCACCGCCCCCTAGAGTCGAACACGACTGGACAAAAATTGTCAAGGGGAACCTTTACCTTTACCTCCAGATTTAACTAGGCATTGCCATACATCAGCCCATGCACGTTTGCCAGTTGGACAGGGATGTTGTGTAGATTGAAGCAGCCAGAAGACTGCTGAGAATGCCAAAGCAAGCAGGTAGAAAGAGATACCTTATCTGCAGGCTCCCTGCCGTCTTTTAATTTATGGTTCTCCAGCTGAGCCTGGTTGAACTGGGGGTGTGAACGTGAACCACAGGGCCTGCCGCTTATGAGTCAGAAGGGGTGGAGGACACATCTGGCCCACAGAGTTCACTCTTGTACAGTAGGTGTATTCAAAGCTTGTGCAATAACCAGAATGTAAGCAGAGACAGAAGTTCTCTTGCCAGCTGCTATTTCATCTGACCCGCCCAGTTCTGCAGACGCCATCTTTGTTTTCTTCTTTTACAAACGCTTCACCTGGCAGGGCCTGCTTGGAGGAGAGAATGCAGGCACTTCGTTCCTGTTCTCTTGGACGAGATAGAGGACGGGTTCCTCTGGGAGCCTATGCAGAAGAAGAGTTGTAGTGCACGTTTCCCCAGCGGGTGAGTGCGGTTTTCTGTGGCTTCTCGGGTGCTGCTACAGGTTCACGGGCCGAGATTAGGTAGGTGAGGAGTCCAGCTGCCTTCATCTTGCAGCTCTCCTCAGTGGCTCTGGGCTCAGGTGTGGGAGGGAGTGGGCACAGCCACGTGCAGGTCGAAAGCCCAGCCCCCTCTCGGAGCTTTCCTGTTCAGATAAGTCACCTGCGTGTATCCAGAGCTTTAGCTGCAATCCTAATAGGGCTGTGGAACGTGAGGCCTTCGGGATGTGGTTGGAGTACAGCTCCCATCGCCCTCACCAGTCTAGCCAGTAGCAAGGAATGATGGGAGGTTTAGTTGAGCATCATTTGGAAAGCCCCATTGTTTCCCGTGCTGCTTAAAAAAGTGAAATGGAGGAAATGGAGGAAAACGCTGTCTTCCCCCCACCTGTAGGCTGAACAGCATGTTCCAGCTGCCGCTTCCTTTGGACCGAGATGGGACCCTCTTCCGGCTGCGCTTTACCACCCTGGCCGTTGGGACGGTGTGCTGCCCGCTCTTTGGCTTCCTCTTCTGTGTGATCTGGTCTCTGCTCTTTCACTTCCAAGAAACCACAGCCACTCATTGCGGCGTAAGTCCTGCTGAGAGGAGTGTGTGGCTGCGGCGGGTGTGCACTTACATCGGGTGATTGCTCTCTCAGAGCTTGGATCGAGCAACAGCAGACTGCAAAAAATGCCAGTCGTTGTGGGAAGGGGATTTAGCGCACACCGCTATGCTAGTCGGAGCATCCCGATCTCAACTTATTTTGGAAAACTGAACCGAGCTAGGTCTGGGTCGTATTTCAGTAGGAGCCCCCACCTCACCCCCCAGGGATCACTCGGTAGGGCTGGGGAAGAATCCTGCAGTTTGGCAGGGCCTGGTGGTTGCTGGGCAGGTGCGGGCTCTGGGGCCGGAAGCCACAGGTGCCAGAATCTCAAATTCTGGCTAGGGACGGCCACTCCGTGGATGTGGCAGCCTCGGCAGGGATGAGAGCCGAGAAGCGGAAGTTTCTGCAAGGGAAGCAACTCTCCAGAGCCCTGGATCTGGTTTGCGCTGATGCCACTGGGGGTGTTTATTTCCCTGGGCAGGTCCCCAACTATCTGCCCTCCATTAGTGCCGCGATTGGCGGAGAAACACCTCAGCGCTATGTCTGGCGTTTCTGCATCGGGCTGCACTCGGGACCCCGGTTCCTGGTGGCTGTCGTCTACTGGAACTACTATCGGGGCTGCCACAGCACGAACCCCAAGTACCCCTGCCTGTGCTCCAAGGCCTTGGTCCTCAACCTGCTGGAGAACGTTGCCCTGCTGCTGCTGACCTACGTCTCCTCCTCTGAGAACTACCGTAAGTGTCCTGGCCCCGCTTCTCTTCTCCTGGCGGTTGCTTGAGTGTGGGATTCCTTGGACCCTTTGGAGACTTGGGGAATGTGGCTGAAAGCCAGACTGGCTCGGGAGCATCACTGGCCTCCTTAGGCAGGCCTTCCGTGTCCCTGGCTCTCTTGCCTCCATGGAGGTTCTGCTCGGCTTCTCAAAGGCGCCTGTCCTTTTGATCCTCTGGCAGCCCTAGCCACCCCAATAAAGTGAGACTGGGATGCACATGTTCGGTGGGGAGATCACATTTGTCCTCTGTATAGTTTTCTCATAGGAACAAATTGTGGATGTTGGCTGGAATTTCTTTGCTTTATGGGTACAACTTCCACCTTAGCTTTCTGATCTAAACCCAAGTTAATGTGCCCCTTCCCACCCCAGGAAATATGAGTAAGCTTGGAAAAGGGAGACTTGCCGTGGATTTCCTCATTCATCCTCCAGCGGCCGTGTTTTTAGGCTGAGGTTTGGTGTTTCACGGGGAAACGATTGTCCCAGGGACTGGTCTGCCCGCCAGGGCTGCGGCTTCCTTTTTCACAGTCTGGGTCGCCTCTTTTCTTGTCGCCCACAGTCATCCACAAGAGCGCCTTCATCCTCTTCATCTTTTCGGCCCTCAGCCACATGCTTCTGACCTGCACCCTGTGGCGGATGACTAGGAAACATACAGCAAGTCCTGAGGTATGGTACTTTGTTCCCAAATTATTAGGGTCATGGTTAGAGTGAGGTGGATGTTTTTGTGGGTGATTGCTCGGTGTTTCTGCAGCTCTCGTGAGGCTGGGAAGAGTTTGGGGTCAGACACAAGAGAAGCAGCCCAGAAAGGCTGGGAGGGCAAGCCGGCCTCGTGTGGAGCAGAGCAGCCTTTCCCCCGTGTCGCCTCCTGATTCTGCCAGGACGACAAAGCGGCTTTTGTTCTTTATTTATTTATTTTATTTATTTATTTTATTTATATCCCGCCTATCTAGTCAATAGACCACTCTAGGCGGCTTACAACAGGGATAAAACAATAACTAAGACAAGTTATATAAAAACACATTCAACAGTTAGATCAAACACAAGGAAACAGAAAAGAGGGGAATCAGGAATTGGCGGGGGGGAGGGGGGAAGGCCTGCCGGAACATCAGTGTTTTTAGTTGTTTTTTGAAAATATGTGTATTAAATATGCCAGAACTTGGAAATGCAACTGGTTTCAGGACCAACCTTGTTATACATTTGTACAATATAGTATCAGCTTTACCTACTCTTATCTCACAAGGTCCAGATGTGACATGGAGTGTCCTGATTTCCAAATTGCAAACAGATGACTGGCTCCCACTAAACTAATTGATACACCCAACAGCATTGTTATGTAGAACCTGTCTGAATCATTATGAAACCGTGACATTGTACAGGATTGGCAACAACAGTGTGTGCTCGCCCCCACCCCAAGTTAACATGTAGGAAGGATTAGTTTAACCAAAATGGTGATGGTAGAGCAGGGAAGTAAACTGATGCATCCCCCTCCCATACTTGTTGCAGTTATGGTTTTACCTTCTGCCCCTCCCCTCCCCTACTGCTATGTGCAATTTTAAAACCTGCATGAACAATACATTTCATGGTTCATGTCTAGTATGGTCTGCTTTCACTAGTTCACTGGGGCCAATTAGCCCCAATTCGTTCTCATGTGATGAGTGTAGGTAAAAGTTGATGCCACGCTGCACAAACTTGTAACAAAATTAATATAGCTCACAAACGTTTGTCGGTGGAAAGTAACAAAAGAAAAATATAGAAGCAGGGCCAGTAACCCAGTCTCCTAGTAAAACAAAGCCTATTTATGACCAAACCCACATAACTGTGGGCAAAATTTCTAAAGAAGGGAGAATGCAGGGCGGGTACTGTCTCTCCTTTAAAATGCTGATGTGGCACCTTAATTCATTTGTTTGCTTAGCATATGTTTGGGTCCTTAGGAAATGTGACTCATTGCAAAAGAACTTTCATACTTCAAAGTGCATGAGATTAAAAGGGAAAAAAAGCACTTTCGTCAATGTGAATCAGCCTAGGATCCACCCCCACATTAGATTCTTTTCTGTCTCAATCTCTCTCTCTCTCTCCCTGCGCCTCTTGGCTCTTGATTTTTTTTGCAGTGAATTGGTTCATATCAGCTCAGATGGTGTGATTGCTTACAGTTTGATCCTTCTGTAGACATTTTATTTCAAGCCATTCCACCTGGCTGCACCAGCCGCGAGGCATCACAATGGGCCTGTTCAGATGGGAAACTGTCTGCCACTTGAATCTTCTCCTCCCCAAACCTGCTGCCTTGGTCTGTTTCTTTTCCCCTTGCCTTCCCATGCTGGTTCCCTTTTTTTGTTCTTTAAAAGCTTGGTGATGTGCTAGGACACCTAGAAGACCAAAGGAAAAAAAAGAGTGAGAAGTCAGCAGAGGGAATGAGGAAATTGTTGATCACTACTTCTTTATAGCTTGCTAAGGTAGCTCTGCTGTAGCCATGCCTTCTGCAAATCTGGATGCCCACAGCAGAGCTATCTTAAGTTGTAAAGAAGTCTGACTTCAAGCTGA